CAGTCCCGCGGCTGCTGCGTCACCGGGGCCGGGGCAGCAACTTCCACCCAGTCGCTGCTCCCGGTCCAACAGCCCCAGTCCGGACCGACCCGGCAGCCCCCAACAGCCCCCAGTAGCCCCCAGTAGCCCCCAGTTCCAAGCAGGCCTCCCCTCCGCGGGCTTCCAGGGGCTCCACCGGCCCCGGCGCGGCCGTCCCAGCCCACCCACACACACACCGACCCACCCAGCCACCCACCGGGCGCTCAAAGCGCGGCGGGAGCGTGCGGGCGTGGGCGGGAGCACGAGGGGACGTGACGGGGCACGCGTGGGGCCGATCCCCTCCGCCCGCCCCGCGTGGCCGGTCCCCCCCCCCCCCGGCTGGGAGCCCCGGTGGAGGTCCCGGTTCTCCAGCCCCCCCCCCACGGAGCTCACGGGACGGCCCGCGGAGGGATCGGCGCCATCCCGGGAGCGGGGCTCCCGCGTCCCCCGACCCCTCCCGACGGCTCCTACCTCCGGGGGGCTCCGAGCGGACCCCGGCGGGGCGGCGGCGGCTGCGGCGGCTCCGCGTCCCCCGTTCCCCCGGCGGCGGCGGCGGTTCGGTCTGCGAGGGAAGCGGCACATCCAGGGGGGGGGACGGCGGCTGCCGGGCTGGGGCGGGACGGGACGGGACGGCTCCCCCCGCGCTCCCCCGGCCCGCCCCGGGCGCCCGGAGAAAGTTACCGGAGCCCGGCGGGGGCGGCGGGTCCCGGCGGGTCCCGCTCCGGCAACTGCGGCGGCGGCGCCGATCGCGCCCGGGACGGAGACCCCGGCCGGGAACGGCGGCCCCGAAAACCCGGGATGGATCCGGGACACGCAACGGCCCCGCGCCCGCGCGCACCCCCCCCCCCCCCCCCCCCCCCCCCCCCCACGCGCGCACCCGCGGGTCCCGCACGCTGAGGGCCGGCGGGCGCCCCACGCGCGTCCCCGCGCGTCCCCGCGGGTCCCCCGCACCCACGGAGCCGGGCACACGCGTGGGCACCTGCGTGCGCGGGCGCGGGGCGCAGGCGGCGCGTGGGAGCGCACAAACGGCTGCGCCCACCCGGGCGAGGGATCACGCGTGTAAACGCGCACCCGCCGGCGCACGGGGCTCGCTTGCGGGCACTCACAGCACAAACACGCGCGGGGGGCGCAGCCCGTGAACACGCGGAGGGGGGGACAGACGCCAACCCCGCATCCACGCGGGGACGCAGCCCGCGCACACACGCGGGGTCACACCCCACGCCAGCCCGCGGCGGGGGACACGACCCGTTTACACGCGCACGCGGGGGGCACAGATCCCGCACACACACACGCGCGGGGGGCACAGACACGCACACGGGGAGGGGACCCCCCAAAGCCCACGCACACGGAGGAGGCACAGCCCAAACACACGCGGGGGGCACAGCGCTGCACTTGTGGGGGGCAGAGCACACACACATACACACGGGGGGCACCCCCCCAGCCCACGCACCCGCGGGGAGCACCACACGCGGTCAGGAAGCGCAGCCACGCACACGCGGGGTCTGCAGCCCGCACACGGCGGGCACAGCCCGAACACCCACGGGGGGCACATCCCGCAGCCCACGCACACGGGGGGGGGGGACACCGCCCCCCGCCCCCCCACGGGGGGGGGGACGGCCACCAGCCCACGCACACACAGGGGGGGCACAGCCCGCGCACGGATCGTCCATACCCATCCCGCACACGCGTGGGGGGAACACCCCTGGGCCCAGGCAGAGGCACAGCCCACCCTCGCTCGGGGGTCCCGTCCCACGCACCCGGGGGGTCCCGGGGGGGGTCCCGGGGGGGGGTCCGGGGCGGGCCCGGGGGGGTCACGGCCGGGCAGCGCCCCCTGGTGGCCGCGGGCGGAGCCCGTCGTGCTCCCCGCGCCGGTGCCGCCGGTGACCGGGACGAGCCGCGAAGGTGACGGGGCCGCGCCGCGCTCCCCGCTGAGCCCGGAGCCGCTTTACCGGGATTACCCCGCCGGGGACTCTGCTGTCCCCGGCACTGACCTGTCCCGCCCGTGCCACCGCGCACCGCGGAGCAGCTTCACGGCTGCGGGACCCCCGGGGCAGAGGGACATCACGGGAACCGCTGTAGGACAGGATTTCAGGACCCCTCGGCTCCCAGCCGGGACCCGCACAATCCATTCCCTGCCTCAGTTTCCCTCCCCGCTGTCCCAACCTGAGATCGGCTCCTTTCCCTGCCGCTCCCCCAGAGCAGAGAGGGTGAGGAGGGGTCTCTGCTCCCCGGGAAGCCCCCGGCACGCGGGGGAGGTGGCAATGCCGGCAGGGCCCCCCCCCTTCCTCTGGCAGGAGGGGGGGAACAGCCAGCGGGGTACCGGGATGCCCCCAGACTCTGGGTTCCACTCCAGAGGCTCCGAGGTGGGGGCGAGGTGGTGGGTTCGGGTTCGGGGGTGGGCCCAGGTGAGGGGGGTGGGCCCAGGTGAGGGGCTGCCTCCATCCCTGTTTTGTAACGAGCGTTAAGCGGCTCAGCAGCTTTGCCCCTGAGCTGAGTGTGACCCCGGATAAGCTGCCCGGGGTCCGAGAACTCACCCCAAGCCCACCCTCCTCTCCCCACGGGACCATCTGCGCGGCCAGACGGCCCCCGGGTCCCTTTTGCCGCCAGCTCCGAGCCCCTGAGTGCCACCCACACCAGGGCAGCCCCACCCGGAGCAGCCTTTCACCACCAGCCCCCCGAGCCCGCCCCGTCCCCCACCCCACGGGTAATCCCGGTCTCCTGTTTGGGAAAGTCAAAGCGGCTCAGAGCAGGGCCAGCTGATCCCCCGGCTTAGGGATTTAGCGGTGCCACCGCAGCCAGCTCGGCACCTCGGGCGCGGGGGCAGCGTGTCAGTGTGTCAGTGAGTCAGCACCTCCCGCACACGCGCGTGGACACCCCCCCTCCACGGGAACACGCTCCTTGCCGCGGGGAAAACAGAGGAAAAACTTTCCTCGCCGGCGAAGGAAAATGCGCGTGTGGTGTCCCGGTGGGATGCTCCCCGCGGCCGGACGCATTCCAGGCGGGAATGCTGATCCGGGGAGGGAGCGGGGAGACTGCGGACACCACACACGTCCCCGAGCGCCTCCCGGAGATCCATCTCCCGGAGACCCATCTCCCAGAGATCCATCTCCCGGAGATCCATCTCCCGGAGACCCATCTCCCGGAGATCCATCTCCCAGAGATCCATCTCCCGGAGATCCATCTCCCGGAGATCCATCTCCCGGAGATCCATCTCCCGGCGTGTGCAGGGCAGCACGTGCTCCGGGGACACGGACCGGGGCTGCGGGAGCGCCCGGGAGGCCGAGGAGGCGTCCGGCAGGTGCCGTTGGCTCTTCCCCCACGCCGGGATATTTTGGGAGCGCGGCCATGGCCGCGGTGCCCCGGGGGGATGCCCGCGGGCGCTGGCTGATGAAAGCCGCCCTTTGGCCGCTGGCAGGGCCAAGCTGGGAAAGCGAGGGGGGTTTGTCCCCAGATAAAACGGCCCCAAAGTGAGCTTTGAGCGGGCGCTTGCGCAACGGGGCCCCGGGGCAGCGTGTGGCATCTCGGCGGGATGAGCGGCACCTCCCACCCCGGGAGCATCCCACCCTGAATTCCAAAAGAGACTCCCCGTCACCCACCAGTCCCTCTGGCTGCGATGGGGCTGACACTGGGGTCACTGGGTGGTGTTTCAGGGGAGCACAAGAGGGGCGCAGGGGATTTGCAGTAGGGGCCCGGGATTTGGGGGTGGGCTGTGGCTCTCAGCACCTGAGGTCACCTCCCCGGAGCCAGAGTCTCCAGAGCTTTGTTTGGGGTTGCTCCAGGTGCAGAACAGAATCTCCAGGTGGGGCAATGCCCCCCAGTACCTGCCCTGCTGGGGCACAGCTTGGTTGCCACCCCTCTCCAGCCCCCAGTGAGGTGATACCTGGTTCCCCGCCCCTGCCTGATCCCTGGGACCCCCATCCACAGGGAAGATCCCAACCCTCCCCTCTGCACCCAAGGAGCCCCCAAAACCCCACAACTGCCCTCATCTCCCAGCACAGCATCACTGTGCAGCTCCTGTGCTGCTCCAACCCCAGAGCCTGAGGGACCTGGGACCTTCTGGCCAAGCAGGATCCTCTCGCCCACCCCATCCATGCAGGTGGTCCCAGGAAAAAGCAGCCAGAGCCTGGATATAGCATTTCCACCCATTTATTTGGGAAGCCACACCAAAATATTATATAATAAATTAAAGCATAGGCCATGTGGGTGCATCAGGGAGGTGAGGGCAGAGCAAGAGCTTCAGCAGAAAGGATGGAGCACCAGGAGTCCCGATGGCTGCAGGAACCTCCACTGAAAAAGTCGGAATAGCTGCAAAACTGGAGGCACAAACCAAATCTGTACCTTTAGTGTGATCCTAAAGGCAGAGTCTGAGCCAGAACTCCCTGTAGGGTGGCACCAGGCTGGAGGAGACCTGGCTGGAGGGTGGGAGCAGGGGAGGAAAACATAAACCCAGGGAAAGGGGGAACACACAGGACCTGGAAGTTTGGCCCTCACAGCTCCGTGAGCTCCAGGGAGCAGAGGACTGTCCAGTCATTGCTGGTTTGGGGTTTTTGATGAAATCACACCATTCACCCTCCTCTCCCAGGCCTGTTATTTGTGCTCCATTCCACCTGTCCCAGAAAAAGGCCTAAACTGGATGCAGGAAGGTTTGTTCCAGTAGGGAAACAAGTGGGGCTGCCTCGTCCTCCAGCTGCCCCCGTGGAGGAAGGAGACCTGTTCCCACATCCCACTCTGCTCCCGAGGAGGCCGAGTTCCAGACCATCACTGGACACTGAGTGTGAACCAAGCAGGGCCCCCTCACCCCACACCAGAGGGGGACAGGACCACCAGGAATGTGAGATCAGCTCCAGGGATGCCCGGAGTCACCAACACCCACAGTCCAGGCTCGGGCAGTCTCATATGGCCTTGGCTCCATCCCACGTGCCCCCAAAGCCCCCCGCCCCCGGCACTCTCTGGAGGCAACCCCTGCTCCCTCTCGTGAGACCCTCTCCCTCCCTCCCAACCTTTCCAAAGGGCTCCACTGCACCCCGGGCTGGCTCCAGCTCACGGGAGCTCTCCAGCTCCCTCCCCCTCCACCAGAGAGACAGTCCTGGAGAAGGGGGGGGGTCCCAGCACGGCTCCCCCAGCCCTAACTACAGCCACAGGCATCAACAATCATGTCGGGAATGTCAGTCTTGACTATGTTGCTGTTGCGATCGAAGTAGAGGACGGAGAGCGGGCGGCGCCGGGTGGGGACGCAGCAGGAATGCCCCGACGCCTGCACGTTGTTGGCTTTGACGAGGTTGAAGACGGCCGTGTGGAAGGAAGAGGCCATCCCGGGGCTGCCCGCCACGTGCAGGGGGCACTGGCCCACGCAGTAGTTTATCTGGTAGCCCTCGGGCTTAATGATCCAGTCGTTCCAGCCGATGTCGCGGAAGTCCACGTAAAAGTCCTTGCGGCAGCACAGGCTGGAGTTGGGGCTGCAGCGGAGGCTGCGCTTGGCCACGCGGTGCTCGGGCTCCCGCACCTTCGCCTTGGCCACCAGGAAGGGCTGGTGGGACCAGCTGGCGTTGAGCGGTGCCGCGATGTCCCCCCCCGTCTCCGCGGCTCTCCAGCTCCAGCCGCAGCGTCCGGCTCTGCCCCCCGAAGAAGCTCCGCAGGGCGGGCAGGAGGGGGAAGGAGCTCCAGCCGCTCCCCGCCGCGCTCAGCCGCCTCTCCCCCAGCAGCGTGCGGTTGCCCCCCGCCCCAGGGGCCAGGAAGATGCTCAGGGTGAGCCCGGGCCGGGGCACTCGCAGGTAGAGCCACAGCTGAGCCTGCAGGATGCGAATGTCCTGGTCCTGCGCCTGGCTGAACTGGAACTGCAGCCCCAAACCGGAGGGGGATGTGAGATCTGAGGGGAGAAAGGGATGAGGAGGTGAGAGCTGTGGGATGCTGCTCCAACATCCTTCAACTTCTCAGGAAACACAAATTTTCCTCCCTCCCCGTGTCCTTCCCTCCCGTGGGAACGCTACCCCCGGAGTGGGGGGTCCCCGGGGCGCAGGACAGGGACCCCCCGCCCCGGGGCTCACCGGGTTCACCCGCACCCCGCCGGGGACCGCGTGGGCTCCCACGGGGGGGTCGCGCGAACCCACCCGTCTCCGCGAAGCTGATGATCTCGTAGCCCCGCTCCTCCTCCTCCTCCTCCTCCCCGGAGGGGCCCCGGCGGGCGCCTCCCGCCTGCAGCCGCCGCAGGGCGCGGGCCACGGCGGCGCGGGGCACGGCGTGGGCGAGCCGCGGGCGATCGCGGAGCCGCAGCTTCTCCAGCAGCTGCTTCTTGGCCACCTCCTCCAGCAGCCGCCGCTCCGCGCCCGCCGGGCACGACGGGCAGCGCGGCTCGGCCGCCGCCGCCGAGCACAGCACGGCCGCCAGCAGCAGCCACGGGCCCGCGCCGAGCGCCGCCATCCGCGCCCACCGGACGGCACCGGGAGCGGCGCCGGGAGCGGCACCGACGGCACGGGAGCGGCGCCGGCACAGAGGGACCGGCGCCGAGCGGACGGGAGCGGGAGCGGCGGGACGAGGCGGCACCGAAGGGGACGGGACCGGCACCGGTCGCGGCGCCCGCGGGTCGGGAAGGGCACCGGCACCGGGAGCGGTGCGGCGCGGCCCGCTTTGGGCACCTGCGGCCGGGGGCGGTCCCGCCGTCCATCCCCCCCCCCGCGCCCCCGCCATTGGCCGCCGCACCTGCCCGTCCCGTCCCGTCGGGGATTACCGGGATTAGCACCCCCAACCCCGCCTCCCCGCGCCCGCCCCGCTGCCCCCCGGGGGAAGGGGCTCGGTGGGCAGCCCCCCCATCCTCCCCTGCTCCCCACGAGCCGTCGGGAGCCCGGGGGAGGAGTAAAATAGAGGGGAGTGCAGAGGTGTGTGGGCGAGGGGCTCACAGACCCGTGGGCTTTGCCTGTGGCTCGCCCTGGCATCTGCCCTGGCCAGCCCCCCAACTCGGGCAGCCGGGTACTGAGCTCCCAAACCTGCTCCAAAACCCCAGGAAGCAAGGGCTGGGACAAATCCTGGCTGGTGGAGGAGATCCAGCCCCGGAGCAGCCAGTTGGAGGGATCCCTGCTCTCCTGCCTGCCCACGGATCTTACAGACCTGCCCCCCAGCCTGGGCACTGCCCCCCGGGCATCCCTGAGCCATCATAGCAGGGTCGGTCCTGTTGGGTGCTGACAGAGGACCCAGCAGGGATCAGGGGGCTCCTGGGATGACCCTGCAGCTCCCAGGGACTGTCACTTTTGTGGCTGTGACCAGGTGATGGCTTTGGGGGTCTGAGTCCACCCCTTGGATCACCTGGTCCAGCCTCAGCCCAGGGCAGAGCCGGGAAGGGCCAGAGAAGGGGAACACTGTGTCCTCTCCTCCTCACACAACAGAAAGGGGGTTTGTATGTCCTGAGGGCTCAGGAGGTGGCAGCCAGTGTCACATCAGCACCAAGATGTCCCTCGGGCTCTTTGGAGTGGGATGTGCAGCCTGAGCCAGGGCAGAAACCTCCGGAAGGTGATGGAAGGTGCCACGTTTCCAGGGGATGGGCAGAGCCCAGATGGAGCAGGGAACCCAGAGAGGGCACGGTGGGAACTTGAAGCCCTGCCAGCGCTCGGCATGTCCTGTGCCCACCGTGCCACGACTCCAAGGTCTTGACCACACGGAGCCCCTGCCCCTGGCCAAGCCAGAGGTGCCATGTAAACACAGTCTGGGAAAAAGCACCCACCGGAGGTGATGCAACCGCGGAGCGAAGGGCAAAGGGCTCAGCTGGCCGGGCCTGCTGGCAGCTCCCAGAATAGCCCAGGAATGTCAACAGAGAGGAAAGAGTGGGCACAGGCTGGCGTGGGAGCAGAGATCCCAGAGGGCCTGGGAGGCCTGGCTGCCGGCGGGATGGAGCAGGTGGCACTTCCAGCCGGGCACAGGTGCCCGGAGCACACGCGCTCACGGGCACGGATGGTCCCACAGGGAGAGCACCTCTACCCTGGAAGTGTCCAAGGCCAGGTTGGACGGGGCTCTGAGCAACCTGGGCTAGTGGAAGGTGTCCCTGACCATGGCCGGGGGTGGAACTGGATGAGCTTTAAGGTCCCTTCCACCCAAAACCATTCCACGATTCTCTGATGCACATCTGCACACTCCCTTGCAAACACGTGTCCAGGCCCCCTCCCAAATATTTGGATTCTGGCTCTGTTTCGGACCCGCTTCACATCCACCACAAGCCATTCCCCTGCTGTGCCAAATTTCTCCACCCCTGCCAGACCCTAGAGCCAGGACCGGGGCCGTGGCACAGCAAGAAACGGGAGACACAAAGCGTGGCAAACGGGCGAGGGACTCCCCAAGCCACCCAGGCTGGAAGGGGAGGGTTGTCCCCAAATCCCCAAAGGGATTAACCCCGTTGAATCCCACCAGGGTCCCTCTGCATGGTGCAGAATCCCCATTCCCCCTCCGGCTCAGCAGGGACGTGGGACGATGCCCAGCCCCTCGTGCCCCCCAGCACGCGCCGGCCCCCCGAAGTAGGGCAGGGGTCAGAGCGGAGCCGCTCTTGCACCCATTGCATCAGTGTGTTGTTGATTAAGCGGTTCCCAGAAAGCAAAGCCCAGGGACTGACCCGACCAAAATACCCCCCCCCGGGTCCCATCCCTCCCCCCCCGGGTTGCACATTCGGCTCCGGGGCCTCCGACCCCGCGGCCGGTGGGATGAGAGTGTGGCACCTGGTGACCTGCCCTGCAGGTGACAACGGGCTGGGCTCAGCACGGACCCCCCAGGAGCTCGTGCAACTCATGGAATCATGGAATCGTGGAATCATTAAGGTTGGAAAAGCCCCTGAGACCATTGAGTCCAAGCCAGGCCACCACAAAATCATGTCCCCGAGTGCCACGTCCACACGTTTTTGGACACTCCCAGGGATGGTGACTACACCCCATTCCAGGGCTTGACCACCCTTTCCACCAAGAAATTTTCCCTAATATTCAATCTAAGCCCCACCCTGGCACAACCTGAGGCTGCTTCCCCTTGTACTGCTGCTTCTTCCTGAGGAGAAGAGCAACGGTCACCACACCGGTGCCGCTGGCTGGGAACGGGCCGTGAGACTGGGAATTAAACATTAACTCCTCTCAAGGCAAGGGAAGGGGCTGTCAAAAATTCCCACCCCTCCTGGGAGCTGGCCCTGGCACAGGGCACTCAGACCTTTGCTTCAGGGGCTGTTGACACTGGCAAGGGGTCCTTCCAAAAGGCACCAGCACATCTGTCCTCTCCTGCAATGGAGACCGAGGGGACATCACCTCTGTCCCACTCTGTGCCACATCTGGCACAGCCCAAGTGCTGGGTTGGTGCCATGGATGCCATGTCCCCCTGGCATTGCCATCCTGGTCCCACAGGATGGTGTCCTGGCACTGGGCCTGAGCCTCCCCCTCCAGAGTCCCCCAGGAGATGAGGGGACCCCGGCAGAGCTCAGTGTCACAGCAGGGAAGGAGGGAGGTGGAGAGGGAGCGTTCCTGGCTCCAGGGATCAGCTGTCCCTGACTGCAGCTTCCTCACCCTGCATGTTCTCCCCGGTGGGAAATGCTACCTCAGAATTCCTGAGCCTTGGAATTCACCCCGTGCTGCGAGTGGGGAAGGGGCTCTCGGCTCCATCCAAGTGCCCTGTTTCCCCTGGGAGTGGGCCAAGCCTCAGCTCAGGGTTTTGGGGTCATGCAGCCCAAGCTGAGGGGTCTGCAGGGCCACGGGAGCAGCTGACACCTCTCCTGCCCCTTCCCTCAGCCCCCGTGTGCCCACGGCTGCTGCAGCCCTGGCGCTGGCTCCGGGGAAGTTGTTTGTTCAATAAACACAGACCGTGGAACGAGGCGTTGGAAAAAGATGGGAAAAAACAAACACTGAACCCTCTTTGGGTTTGCACAAGTGGCCTTGAGCCCCAGACAGGATCAATCCCCGAGCCTCCCCCTCTGCCCCTGCACGGGAACACTGCGGGTCCCAGTCCTGCGGGCACCTGGACACCTGGATCTGGGGACGTGGGGGGTCCCTGCTCCGCCAGGGCTCGGTGGGAGGGTGTGTGCAACGTGGGCAACGTGGGCAACGTGGGCAACGTGGGCAAACACTGCCACCTGTCAGAGGTTGTTCTGTCCCTGCTCCAAGGTGTCCCAGGTCCTCCAGGACATCCTGCCCCTGCTCCAGAGTCGGAGCAGCTCAGGGCTCAGCATCCTGGAGCGGACAGAGGATGCGAAGCTGGGTGGGGAGAGGCCCTGGCACCACCTCCTCCCTCTGCCCACCCTTCCCCACCCAGACCCAGCCTCCAGGGAGGGACCACCAGCACCTGCAGGGCGAGCCCCAGGAGTGAGGTGAGCCCCAGGAGTGAGGTCGGCCCTGGAGCTCCCCTCCCGAATCTCCCAGCCCAGCCCCCCCTTGCCCACCCCTCGCACACGGGGGGCACGTGGGGAGCTCAGAGGAGCCTGAATGTGCCCTTACGTAACGGGGCCGGAGCGTCAGAGCCGCCCTTTGCCCCCTGCTCTCACGGCCCTGGCATGGCCCACTTTGCTGTCCCCGGGCTGCTGAGGGGCACAGAGGGGGGGCAGCGGCTCTGGCCGTGGGCCAGGGGCACGCTGAGGGGCTGGGGGGGCTGTAGGTCAGAGGGGGACCTGGGTGCCACAGCTCTCACCTGGCAGTGCCCGCCCACTTCAGAAGGGAGGACGGAGTTTCTCTTGTTTGGTCCTGATTTGGGGCAAGAACGGCCAAATCCGGGGGGTTTTGGTGGGATGGGTCATTTGGCCCAAGCAGGGGATGGTGCCTTTCCCGCGGGAATCATGAGCCCCCTGTGCCCGGAGGGGTCCCATGCTGTGCCCTGCATCTGGCTGGGGTGAATCAGGGTGTCTGTATCCCTCTGGGAAGGGCAGCTGAGGGGCAGAGAGGGCATGGGAGGCCTTTGGGAACAGTGTGGAGATGCCCAGTCCTGCTTCCCGGGCTTTCTGAGCCGCCTGTGCCAGGAGCACTGGAAGATGTGCTGGCTGATGGCAGGGCACACACGTGTGACACACACACACGTGTAACACACACACATGTGTAACACACATACACACGTGTGTAACACACACACACGTGTAACACACACACATATGGGCACACACATGTAACACACACACATGTGCACACACACCACGGCTGGGAGTCTTTATTGAACACCAGGGATGCTCAGAGAGGGAGACACATTCCTCCCACTGGGATTGATTTCCCCTTCCTTGTCCTCCTCAGCCTCACATCCAGCTGAGTGAGGCCACAGGGGTGACCCATCCCCTTCCCTCCCATCCCCTCCCCTCCCCTCAGTCCTCTCCAGAGCCCCAGCAGCCCGGGGTGGCCACTGGTGGGTCCTGCGTTGGTGTAGCTGCACCCACGACTTCAGGATGGGTCGGCAGTGGGACCACCCTGAGCCGCAGTGTCCGGCAGGAGGAGGGGCTGGAGCCCACCGGGAACCGGTCTGAGGTGCTGTGAGAGAAATCCGGGGGCAGATCCAAAGGGGGAAAAGAGACGGGTGGGAGGCGAGCGAGCAGAGAACAACTCGCACGTTCAGCATCACCCTGAGGAGGAACAAATTCCTCGGCAGGGCTCCCGTCTCGCAGCCAGGAGGCGGGAGGAGGGAGCCCTGCCCCGGGATCCTGGAGGAAGGAGCTCTGCCGAGCCGGGAGGAGGGAGCCCTGCCCCGGGAGCCGGGAGGAGGGAGCCCTGCCCGCGGTTTCGCCCTGCCTGCGGTGTCCCTGTCCCGCCGCCCGCTCAGGTGCAGCCGCAGGAGTCCACGATCATGTCGGGGATGTCGGTCTTGACGATGTTGCTGTCGCGGTCGTAGTAGAGCAGGGAGAGGGGCCGGCGCTGGGTGGGGACGCAGCAGGAGTCCACGGCGGCGGCCGCGCTGGCGGCTTTGATGCGGTTGAGGACGGCGGTGTGGAAGGAGGCGGCCAGGCCGGGGATCCCGGCCATGTGCAGCGGGCACAGCCCCGCGCAGTAGTTCATGTGGTACCCCTCGGGCTGGATGATCCAGTCCTCCCAGCCGATCTCCTTGAAGTCCACGAAGAATTCCTGGCGGCAGCACATCCGCGAGCCCGCGCCGCAGTCGACGCCGCGCCGGTGGAGGCGGTGGGACGTCCTGGCCCGGGCTCGGGCCACCACGAACGGCCGCTGGGAATCGCTGTGGTCAGCCGGGAGGGGGGACCCGCGGTCCTCCGGCACCTCCAGCTCCACCGTGAGCCGCGGGGTGTCCTGTCCCGAGACGCTCCGCACGGCCGGTCCCACGTCCAGCGCGGTCCAGCCGGGGCTCTGCACCTCCAGCCACGTCTCGCTGGCCACCGTCGTGTTTGTCCCCGCCGGGTCCGGCCACAGGAGCCTGACGGTGACGGGCTGTGCCCCGGGGCTGGGGGCTGCCCAGAACAGGTAGAGGGTGGCCTGCAGGATCTCCGTGCTCCTGGCCAGCTCCCGGGAGAAGCGGAAATGCAGGCGGACGCTGCGGGAGGTGGAGGATCCTGCGCGCAGAACCGAGAGCGGGGTCAGGAGGGAAGGGCCGGAGGGGGCTCGTCCCACCCTCCTGCCAAGGGCAGGGACACCTTCCACTAGACCAGGTGGCTCCAAGCCCCGTCCAACCTGGCCTGAAAAAATTCCAGGGATGGGGCAGTCACAGCTTTTCTGGGAAATCTATTTCAGGGCCTCACTACTCACACGGAGAGGAATTTCTCCCAATATCCCATTTAACCCTGAGCTCTGGCAGCCGGAAGCCGCTCGCCCTTGTCCTGGCACTCCAGGTCCTTGTCCAAAGTCCCTTTCCAGCTCTCCTGGAGCCCTTTTAGGCACTGGAAGGGGCTCTAAGGTCTCCCTGAAGCCTTCACTTCTGCCTTGGCTGCAGAGCTGCTGCTCCTCCTGGCCGGGGAAGGGCTGATGGGGCCGTGACGGGACTCGGGGCTCCTGGCACAGCTCTGCCCATGAGGACACGACACCCCCCTCGTGCTCCGAGCCTGGGTTCATCCCCCGGCTCGGTTCCAGCTGACGCTCCACCAAGCCAGGAGAGAACCCTGTTGTCCCCGAGTGTGGGAACACAATGTGCCGTGGAGCAGCTTTGTTCCCGCAGGGCTTCGAGGACACGGGGGCCAGCGAGGGGAGCGGAGCCCCCCCACCTCACCACGTGGAATTTGGGCTGGGAAAGGGAGGGTGCAGGATGCTCTGTGGGGTGGGGTGCCGAGTCTGTCCCTCCCAGGAGAGACAGGATACAGGACCGGGGAGAAGTGGGATACAGGACCCTGTTTTTCCAGTGATGCTTCCCAGGACCCCTGATTGGGGAGCTCAGTTCAGGAGAAGCGAATTCTGAAGCGAAACTGGGACGGGCCCCTTTGGGTGGGATGCAGAGGCACAGGGGGGTGCAGGGAATGGATGGGCTGTGCAGCCCCGAGTCCACACGCTGTGGGCTGACAGGGAATCGAGGCTTAAAATCCCATTTTGGAAAACCCGTCCCTCAGACCCTTCCACCTCCAGCAGAAACGGGCTGCAGGTGACACGACCCAGCAGCACCTCCGTGCCCTGTGCCACCCTCCCACCCCAGCACGCCTGGGAGCGGTAGGGCTGGGATACGCTCGGGATGCGGATGCAAAGGTCAGGGATGCGGAGCCTCTCGCTCCTTCCAGCAGCAGCGCGACCACCAGCCCGGCTGCACCTCCCACCTCCCACCGCACGACCCCCCCCTTTCCCTCCGCGCCCCCCCGCCCGCGGGACGCGGGGGCCGCACACACCTGACTCGGCAAAGCTCAGCACCTCGTACTCCTGCAGCCCCATCCCGGGCCGCGGGTGCGGGACGGGGCCGTCCCGGAGCGTCCCCGGGAGCGCGGCCGCGTCCGAGCGCTGCTCCCGCAGCCTGCGGAGCGCGGCCAGCAGAGCCCCCCGGCCCGGGGGTTGGGGGGCGCTGGGCCGGGCGGGCAAGCGGAGCTTGGCCAGGATGCTCTGCTTGGCCAGAGCCAGGAGCGCGTCCCGCTGCGCGCCGGGGGCCAGCGCGGCCACCCCGCAGGCCGGGCACCGCTCGCCCCGGGCCGCCGCCGTCCGCAGCAGGCTCAGGAGCAGCAGGGCCACCGGGACCGTCATCTCCGGTGGCGGGAGGCGGAGGCGCTGGGGGGGGTCCCAGCGGTCGTGTCCGAGAACCGGGACGGGACGGCGGCGGGGGCCGGGGAGCGGAGCGAGGATGGGCTCGTTCTCCTGACGTGGCCACAAATATTGGCTGATCCCGGGCGAGATAAACGCCCCTGCGCTCCCGCGGAGCCGCCCGGGCGCGGGCAGCGGCGGCGAGGCCGCCCCGGTTAAGGTGGAGCCGGGCGGGTGGTGCCGCTGCTGCTCGGGGGGCTCGGCCCGGGGCTGCCCCGGCGGGGCGGGGGGCGTGGAGGCCGCGCCGGTCCCACCCCGGGGGTGCCCAGGGTGCAGTGGGAACCCCCGGAGCGGGGGGATCACCGCGGCGTGTGGGATCCCCGCTTGGCAAGGAGCATCTCTGGAGGTGGGGGATGCTCAGAGAAGGGGGACCCCGGGGGGATGGAGGACCCCGAGGGATGGGGGATCCTGGGGAATAAGGGATTCCTGAGGGTCCTGGGTGGTTAGGAGATGGGAGGTCACTGGGGAGGGGGGATCCCTTGGGAATAGGAGCTCCCTGGAAGATGGGGGATGCCGAGGGGATGTGGGATCCCGGAGGATGGAGAATCCCCGGGGGCAGGGGGGGTTCCTGGGAGATGGGGGACTCCCCGGAGATGGGGGACCTCTGGGACATGTGGGATCCCGGGGGGATTTGGGACCCCCGGAGATGGAGGATCCTGGAGGATGGAGGATCCCGGGGGTTGTGGGTTCCGGGAGGATGGAGGATCCCTGGGGATGGAGAGATTTGGGACTCCCGGGGGGGGGTGTCACCCCCGCTGTCCCATGCGCCGGAGGGGGCGTGGCCACGGGTGATGGGCGGAGCCCGAAACCTCCTTAGCCCCGCCTCAGCCCCGCCCCTTTCCCACACAAGGCTCCTCCTCGCCAGGGGGCGCCCCCCGCCCCTTCCGCCCTTCCCGCGTCTCTCCGGTTGCCGCGGCAACGGCGGGGGCGGCGGCGCCGGTCGCGCGGTGATGACGCGCAGGGCGCGGTGACGCAGCGCGCACGCCGCGGGGGAGGCACCGCCTCCTCTTTTTTCCCTTTTTTTTTTTTCCCGTTTCTTTCCCCGTTTTTTTCCCCCGTTCCGGCCGCCCCTTCCCCCCCCGCCCCCCTCCCTGCCCCCTCCCGTCCCCCCTCCCCGTCCTGTCCCCCCTTTCCGCCGCCCCGCCCGGGCGGCCCGCGCTGGCCCAGGCCCGACCCGGCCCGGGGTGGCGGCGGCGGCCCCGCGGCGCAGGGCCCGGCCCGGCCCGGTAAGTGCGGCGGGGGCGGGGAGGGGTGGGAGCGGGGATGGGGGCGGTGGCGGCCGCGGGGTCCCTCCCGCGGTGTCCCCGGGGTGTCCCCCGCGAGGGGCCGGAGCCGCTCCCGCCGCGGCGCGCCCGGAGGTGCTTCCCGGTGCTGGGGGCACGGGCCGGCCCGGGGCTGCCCCTCCCGGCGGGCGCGGGGTCCCGTTACTGCGCTGCCCCTCCCGGGGGCCCGGGGCCGCCCCTCCCGGGGGTCGCTCGGTGCGGGGTCCCCGGGCCGCGCCGCTGCCCCGGAGGAGTCTCGTGTCGAGCCCCTTCCCCCGGCGCGTTGGCGGAGCACGTGGAGCCGGGAGCTCCCGGGCAGTCCCGGGAGAGCGGGGCCCCCCCCGGTCCCGGCTCGCTGGACGAGGAGCCACAGGTGGGAGAGGAGCCCGCGGGGCCCTTCCTGGGGACGGGAGGCGCCGTGCGGTGTTTCTGGAGTCCTCACGGACGACGGCTTTGCTTTGAAACGCAAATAATTCCCGCTCCCGGGGCCTCCAAACGGGCGGGAAGGGGCTGGAGAGGGACTTGTGTGCGGGTTGGAGCTCAGGAGGGGCCCGGAGGGTCCGTTCTCGTGGGACACGTGGAAAGGTGGGTTTTGTTGCTTCTTTCTTGGCGTTCCCGGCCCTGGGACCATTGAAATCCTCCCGGGGCTTTTTTGGGTACCTGTAGGAATGTGGGCTGAGGATGAGAGTTGCCTCTGACTCCTTGGCAGGAGGTGTCAGAGGTGAGTTGGTGTTAATTAAAGTGTTAATTAGAGCGTCCTCGGGTCTGTTTGAAACGGGCTGGTCGAGGTTGGCGTGGGAGCAGAATCCCTGCTGTTCGTTCCTGAGCACTCTGACTTGTGACCCCTTGAGGAGTTTAAAATTCCCTCCTCTTGGATTTTTGGATGTGTTTTTTTCGGTCGTGCAGCAAAACCAGGTCCCAGAGTGGGGAACTCCACGTGGCTGCTCTCCCTGTGGGCTGAGGAGTTGGGATTCTGCTGATTCCTGAGGGCTGGGAGAAAGGGGCAGCATCGCTCGCTCTCACAGGAACTGGGGGGAATTTTGTTGTTCCTCGTGGGTGTCACAGGTTGTCTGAGCTGGAAAAGGGGCTGGAGGGGATGCCAAAGCCCTGGAAGTGTCCAAGGGACGCTTGGATGGGGCTTGGAGCAACCTGGGCTGGTGGAAGGTGTCCCTGCCCATGGCGAGGGGGTGGCACTGGATGGGCTTTAAGGTCCCTTCCCATCCAAACCATTCCACGAGTAGAGGGGTCTGGTCAACTGAATTAAAGGGAAGGAAGTTGCTGTGTTGCTGGCACGGAATTGCTGTGGGAGAAGCAGCCCCTGCTGCCTCGGAGCAGTGGAGAATATCCCTGTCCAATCCCTGCTTCCAGCTGCTCCCCAGGACCCCTGGTGCTGGGCTGTGACACCGGATCCCTCGGCGGGATCGAGTTCCCCTTATGGCAGTGATGCCACTTGTGCTGCTAAATTTAAGGCTGTGTCAGTGCCGCTATTTTTAAACCCCATTTTTTGGGGGGGAAAGTGCCGAAATCGCCCCTTTGAGGTGCCTAAATCACCTCTTTTCACCAAATATCCCTCCTAGTCCTGCTCTCTGTGGGTCTCTCTGCACCTCTGCTGTCACTTCACCTCGTTGTCTCCTTTAAGGTTAAATTAGAGCCAGATCAGTGCTTGTTTTAATCAACTGGTGGTTTGGTGGTTGTTTTCAAGGCTGCCCCAGAGGTGACACGGGGGGATCTGTGTCCAAACTTTCCCCAGCAGCTTTTGGAGCTCCTCTCCCTCCCCAGTCACTCACGTGCAGCAGGTTTTTGGTCGCTCAGCAAAGTTATTCCCGAGTAATTCCGAGCAGGAAACGGCCTCAAGCTGCAGCAGGGAAGGATCAGGTTGGACATCAGGAGGAATTTCTGCATGGAAGGGGTTGTTAAGCATTGGAAAGGAGGTTTGGAGTCCCCATCCCTGGAGGTGTCCAAGGAAGGCCTGGATGTGGCACTGAGAGCTTTGGGCTGGGGGACAAGGTGGGCATGGGGCACAGGGGGGATCCATGGGCTGGGAGGGCTTTTCCCACCTCAAGGATTCTGGGATTCTGTGGAACAAGTGACAGAGCTGCTGGTGCTTGACAACAGTGCCTGACAGCCCCTTCCATGAGAAAATTCCTCCTGATATCCAACCTGGCACAGCCTGAGGCTGTTCCCTCTCCTCCTGTCCCTTGTTCCCTGGGAGCAGAGCCCGATCCCCCCTCGGCTCCCCCCTCCTGTCAGGGAGTTGTGGAGAGCCAGAAGGTCCCCCCTGAGCCTCCTTTTCTCCAGGCTGAGCCCCCCCCAGCTCCCTCAGGAGTTCTCCAGCCCCTTCTCCCTGTGCTCCAGCCCCTCAATGTCTCTCTTGCCCTGAGTGCCCAGAACTGGGCACAGCCCTGGAGGGGCCTCAGCAGTGCCAGCACAGGGGGACAGTCCCTGCCCTGGGTTGTGCCCACACCATGGCTGGCACAGTGTGAGTGTGGGCCCAGCAGGAGGACAGGCTGGTGGCTCCCATCAGTGCCGGGATTCCCTGGATTTTGGGGTGTCTGGGAGGGCTGGTTCCATCCCAGGCTGGCTGTGTGTGCCGCAGGCTGAGTCACCGCTGCTTCCTGGAGGATTTCGGGGCTGCTGGAGTGTGGGCAGGCCCAGCCCCCTCACCAGAGCAGAGAGTTTGGGGTGGTTTTTTTTTAATGAAGTTTTTAAAATTTTGCTCTTGCTTTGACACCGTTTTCTTTGGGAAATGGATTTTTTCCCGAGCTGAGTTTAGACGCAGGATCTGCTTTATTTGGGGAGGTGTTATCCCGGATTCTGGGGAGGTTCAGGTGGGAATTTCCATGAGGAAACGGGATCCTGTGCTGCTGCTTCCCCATGACCAGGAGCTCTGAGCCCAGTCCTGGTGGGATTTGACCATGGAGTGGGGAAAGGGAGTGGGTGGCATGGAAAAGGAGGATCCGGAATGTGGGGAATGCTGGGGTGTTGTGTCCTGCCTCCATGGCTGAGCCTCAAAGCTGCTCTGTCCCTTTAACGTGGCTCTATCCCAAATTTTTGGGGTGTCCCTTCCCAAGGTTGGCTTCGAACAGGCTGGGACCAAGATTGTTCCCTTCCCACCGTTCCATGGGATTCATGGAAACAGCTGGATGGACATGAACCCCTCACACCGAGCGTGTCCAAGCCATGATCCATCAGCACAGAGCTCCCCAGAACCGGGAACAATCCTAAATTTCCCCCTGGGATGTGTCTGGGAGGGCTCAGCAGGGGCTTTGCTGGGTTGGTGAGAACAACTCTGCCCCTTTACCGTGGAATTATTGAATTCCAGGATGGTTTGGGTTGGGAGGGACCTCAAAGCTCACCTCATTCCGATCCCCCGTCATTCCTTCTGGGTATTCCCGGCTCGTGGATGGATTTTGTGTGGATTCTGGGTTGCAGGAGCCGCTCTTGCCACTAGTGGGAGCGTTGGGAGCTTCTCCTCCACCTGGGCACTGACCAGAGGCTTTTTTTGGGAGTTTGTGTCCTGTCAGAGTCCCCTCGTGGCAGCTGCTGTCACATCTTCCATAGGTTTATTTTCATATTTGTGGGAAAGGCTCCAAAATATTCGTGGGAAGCTTCCATGTACGGATTTTATTAGGTTCTAATTACCTCTGTTTGATACTATTTTAGTCCCTCCTTATAAAAATTCACTCTGTATTGTCTCATTAGTGGCAGTTTCCCATCTCCCAGGTCCTTGGGGAGCTGGGATGGTTGTTCAGGAGGAAGCAGGGAGAGATCCGTGTCTTTCTGGAGTTATTTTTGAGGCTGAGAGGAGGGGAGAACGCAGCCATCTGGCAAAATATTCCTGCAAAACCTGGAAAGCCCATTTTTCCCTCAGAGCATCCCAGTGGCAAACTGGGATAAAGGGGCTGTACCTGTGGCTGGGGATAATTAATAATTAATAGGGAATGGGAAGTGGTTTTGGTGTCTGGGAGGAGGAACTCTTGGAGCTGACAATGATCTTCCTACATCCCTTCTGTGTCCTAATTCCCACCACGAAAATGCAGGTGACACCTACACTGTTCAGACAGCTGAATATTTTAGGTTAGCACGAAGTTTGCTTGGTTTGGGGTATTTTTAGGATGCAGGAAGGGTGATGGAATCCTGAGACAACAGTTTCCCACTTGTTGCCTCACAGGGAGTGGTGTTTGTATGGTACAGTTATGTATTTTTAATATACATATTATATTTTATAGTATATTACTCCATCTATATATACTATATATTTTATAGTAATTTCTATGGGGTTTATATATAATATATATGTTATGATATATTTATGTGGTTTGATATATTTTGTATATTGTAGAGTATTTTGGTATTTAATATATTAATAGATATTTATATATAACATATAATATGATTATAAAATATTAAATAGATATTTATATAATATATAATATGATTATAAAATATATTAAATATACTTATTAGTATATTTATAGATTTTTGATGTATATTATATATTTTATAGTATATTTATAGATTCTTGATATATACTATTTTATAGTGTATTTATAGATTTTTGATATATACTATTTTATAGTATATTTATATATTTTTGATATATACTATTTTATAGAATACTTGTATATATTTGTATATTACCTGTATTCAGTGGGACATAAACGTTGGGACAGTTGTCCAGCAACTGGTGTTGTGAATGAGGAGTGGCAGTGCCTGGACTGACAGCAGCTGGATTTGGGAAGGCACTTCCCATCCTTCCTCCAGCACCGGGTCCTGCTTTTTTGGGGGACTCTGCCTTGTTGCAGGGCTGGGATCCAGGACGGGATCCAGGAGGGACAGCCCAGGACGCTGCTGAATTCCCCGATAAAAGGGGATGTGCAAACAGGTGCTGGGCTGGTTGTGGAGCCCATCCCGAGCTCCTGCCCCCCCGTCCTTCCCTCCCTCTCCTTCCCCCGTTCCCGGGG